ATGAGCCAGTGTTCACTCTGTTAGTTACCAGGAGATCTGGCTGTTTAAAAGAGTTTGGCACCTCCCACTCTCTTGTTCCCTCTCACCAGATGATAGGTCTGCACCTGCTTTGCCTTCCACCATGAGTAAAACCTTCCTGAGGTCTGGACTAGAAGCAGATGTTAGCACCATGCTTCTTATGCAGGCTGCAGAAATGTGAGCCAAATAAACCTCTTTACTTTGTAAATTACACCTGGTCACAGGCATTTCTTTATAGCTATGCAAAGCAAACTAAAACAGCACCCTTCAGTGCCCAGTTATGACTTTCCAATTTGTGCCCCACTATTGTCAAATGTCTCCTAGGTAACAACTTTGTCCCAAATTGAGAATTAGCTCTAGAGCCTAATGTGTAGTTACCTTTTGCAATAATTACATTATCTATGTGTCTTTTTAAATTCATTTTCATTGAGTTTAATTAAGAGATAGCAAGAATAGTACTGTGGTTTCAGCAATAAAGGCAGTGAAATTTCATGTGCATTTACAAGAAGGATGACATTAAGCTCAAGAAAGAAGTAGATTAATTCTCATGGAAGAATTTCACATAGAAACGTGAAGGTCTACATTCACATTTCCAGGGAAACCCATTGTGAAATCCATTGTGAAGGATTGCATGGTCCACACCTTGCATTCTACAATTTTCAATAATCACAGTATAATTTTTAAGACTTCATTTACTTCTTTTTTCTTCTTGTAGATACAACTTTCAATTTGAGGAAAGATATGGGTGTTAATCCTACTTACCTTTGAGAAAAAGTATGACAATTAAATAAACTGTTGATGTACAGCCATTTGGGGAAATCTCTGCTTGAGTTTATAATCTCATCCCAATGTACTATTTTATAATACATATATATATATACACACACATACACACATGCATATATATATACACATACACAAATATGTATATATATATATATATATAATATGCACACACACACACATGCAGAAGCCTGATAGTTCCTTACAATCTGATAAACTTTAACATCAAGTAAAAAAAAAAACCCAATGATTTATTCCAAGGAAATACTTTCTGAGAGCCCTTTCTAAAAGCAGCTAGTTAACCTGATTTCATGAACGGGTTCAGTGGCTAGTTAGAAGCCTATATCTATGCCCCATTTCTTAGGTAGGCAAAGGCTAAAGGTGGAATGGCAAGATAATCAAGGTGGTTTGTTCCATTTTATCTTCATGTTCAACTCAGCTTCTGTTGACTGTTACTCACTGTGAAGACCAGTTACAAAGGGCTGTGTTAATTGACTTTTAATCTGGTAATTTAAAAGGTTACAGCCACCATGGAGGACTCCCAATGCTGGACCAGTGACCAACATGTAACCTTTTACTCTATCTTGTGAGAGCACAAGTTAATCCGTGGAATAAGGTTCCCAATCATCCTAGTTTGCCCAGGACTTTCTTGGGTTTACCACTTAAAATTCCCACATGCCAAGAAAACTTCCAGCCCTGGGTAAACCTGGGCAGCTGGTCATTCTAACTGAGGGGTTTAGAGTTTTTGACAGAATATTTGGTGAAGTTAACTTTTTAAAATATTTCCAAGAGTTGGAAAGATAAGGTCAAGAAAAGTTTCCAAATCTACTTTTTAAGAAAAAAATCTTTATAATGATCGCGTAGCACATGATATTTGGAATATGTATCTAACTAGCCTGTATGACTGCCAGGTATTTGCTACTGCAATTGTGAAGACAAGCATTTCCAAGGGCAAGAGAACAGTCTGTCTCAGAGTGCTTCATTTAAGCAAGGACACGCTGCCAACTTGAAAGGAAATAAAGGCCACACTTTTGTCTATGGGGGGATCCTGCAGTTATTCCCCTGCAAATTTAATTCAAACAGGTATTGAGATCTGAAACATGGAGATATCCACAAATTAGAGGATACTTGGTTTTTAAAAAGGAAAGAAAGAAAACCCAGGCCACAGAGAACTATATCAAAGCAGCAATAGTGGTTCCTTTTCATGTTAATCACTGTATTGCTATGAACATGTTTTGAAAGTCTATACTATGAATGAAATTTCTTGAGATCTTTTTTATAAAATACACAAAAATTTTAAAGCAAAAAATATTGTTTTCAGGTAAGTCAATTTCATCTTTTAAAAATGTGTGTGTAAAATGTACAAATCAGTGCTATTTTAATACTTTGCTTTTAGAATTATTAGTTATACGAATATGTCATTCAACTAGTGTATTAATGATACTTTAAGAAAATGTAGTGCTATTTAAATTTTATCATTCACAAATATACCTCTTTCGAATACCAATGAAATAATTTATTTAAAGTAATCTCTATTGGAAAATTGTATTTTATTTTTTCAAGCAGTTTAAGGATCTGCTTCACTAATGAAACTGACAATGACCCACAAAATACTTTTTATATGTTCATTGTGAGATGTACTTATAAATTGTACTTGAACTTATCCATTACAATACATGAGAAATATTTCTTTGAGAAATGCTTTTGTTTGACCTCTTATTATGGTCCCAAACCAACCTATAAAGAAAGATCCCTAGAGGAGGTGTTATATTTGAATAGCAACCTGATTCTGTAATGGAGTAGAGACATTTGTTACCACAAATCATGATACAACTTAGAAAAATTAGTCTAGAGATTGTGTTTTAATTGCCGGGTTCTAAGCAAGCTGCTTTGTCACCATAATTGTTAAAGTTTAACATGTCCATTGTCAAAGGTATGACCAAGGTGAATAAAAATATGTAAGCTCCTAAAGTTTAAGGGAACTCTGAGACATAATTGATGTTCAAGTACCGTATTTCAAATTTTAAGGGCCATTGGCATCTGCCAACATTCAAAACATAGATATATATCTTGGGAGTTATCAAAATAAACTTTACTTTGTTTGGTACTTCCCTTATAAGATCCCACTTCAAATGTAAGGACACTGAAATAAAAGCCTTGAATTTAAGATAGTATTGCAATTCCTTTTTAGTCATGTAACTAGAGAATTCTTGTGTATATTCCATGTCTTATTTTGGTTTGTATACATTAATCCTGCAAGCCTTTGACATTAGTGTATTCTGCAAAGTATTCAATGACTGTATCACCAGTGTCCACCTCTAGACATACATATGACTCCATTTTGTTTCTAATCTCTCAGGGCCCAGTTACATAGACTATTATAATAAGAAATGTATCAGGGATATTCCATGCCATGACACTGGTTTCAATTAATTGCATGTGCATTAATTATATAAGTTGTGGCCAACAGCCAATAGATTAGAAAGCAATAAAAGAGTAGCTGAAATTGAACACAAACGCACACACAGTAAATATGGCATCTTAAAAAAAAATTTATAATACCAAGGTTGAAACATGCTATTAGGGAAACTGATCTGCCACCACCCAAGTCCTGAAATGATTTGTGATATAGTCTATTGTTTTTCTTAATTGGCCACCAACTCTTCACTATAGTCTCCTTTCCTAGTTAAATGCTGGACATTAAGAGTGATACAACTATATCAGAAGGCTTCAGTACTTACACTACAAAAGGACCAGGCCAGTAAACTCAGGCTGACAAATGACTACCATAGGACAAGCTGAAAAATCCAGACTGGCTCTTTTGCCTGTTTGACACTGGCTGACTCTGAAATTAAAAATATGACTCTCTGTCCTCACAAATTTTAAGTGAAAAACACTTTTTTAGAAAAAAGAGCTTCAGAAGTCTCATACTACTTACATATTTACTCCAAAAGCTAAATTAAGTACACTGTGAGGGGGGAAATGGACTCCATTTATAGCTGGTTTTTTAAAAAAATAGGCAAATCAAACCATCTGAAAATAGGGTTTGTCATGGAAACAGCATGCTAATGGGACAATATCCCAAGTAGCCTTATGGTTTTCCAGACAAGTCCTATTTTGCCACCAGCATTAAAAGAAACAAAAGAATACACTGGTTTTCTATATGCTACATCATTTAAAATAAAATTGTTTTCTAAAATCAAAGGCTGGGAGTGACTTAAAAATGCCTTCTAAAGCTATTTAGCCATAGCATGTAAAACCTTTCTGCATCAAATTTATAGTTATATCATGTTAAGGAAACCTACAATAAGACTGATTTAAAATATATTTTTGGATAGTAATTAATAATGTCAAAAACATGTTTTTCCAGAAATTATCTAATTGAACTACGTAGTGAGGAGGTATGTGTGAATTTGGCCTGAGAATTACTATTTTTTTGTGTGTGTGTCTACACAATAAAACCTTCTCAGATATCTACTATATTATGTCAATGTAACAAAGAAAAAAGGAACACAAAATTGCATCTTGCAACTTAAAATCAGATCCTACATTTTTAGTAAGATTTAACTTTTTTTCATTTGCCTTAAAATGAATGATAACTTATAAGACAATTGCATTATAATCAGGAAAGTAACTCTATTGTATCAATGATCTTCATTTTGGTCCCTTGTTATTTTATCACAAAATGTTTTCATGGGAAAATTTAGTAAAGATATTTTTAACCCGTAAAGGTATTTGAGGTTTTCCATCTAGCATTTCCATTTCTCAAAACTGTATTTCCATATTATGAAATGTACAAGTAAACTTTACATCTCTATTTTATAAAATTAATGCATATATACTTATGTGTATACTTATCTATATATACACATACATACACATACATAAATTCTGACAAAGAGTAGATCAACTAGATAATTTATCTGGAAAAGGTTCCTTGAACAATTTTAAAAAGGGGTCTTCAGAAGCAAACAAAAAAAACAGCCTTATAAACCCAATTGTTGTTTAAAATGTTTATGAACATGTAGCCAGTTAACCACTTATTGCTTGCCTATTTATGGTTCTGTAATATCCAAGATTATGGAAGAAGTAAAACAATATCTCTAAAAATTATGAGAAAGGTAATGATTTAAAAATAAACCTCCATAATATAAAAAGTCATGTAAATTTATCCCTTGAAAGAAAAGAAAGCTTTAATATTAAAATTAGAATTCTCTTTTAATTCTCTGAGTAAAGAAATAATTTGCAAACTTCTATTTTCTACTGTCATGAAAACAGGTCTTTTCTTGGGACTTCACAAATGTCAATCATAACAATGCAAATAGAGTAATTCTTTGGAAAGACTAATCTGAGGGTTTAAGGGTAGACTTTTTTCATTGAATTCCTGCATTTTTATACTGTGGGATTGGCTATGAGACACTATAAAATGTAAAATAGTTCAGACAGTTCAAGCTCTATTATTTTCAGGCACAAAAACCATAATTTTGTACAAAACTTTGAATTTTTTATTTGCGAAATTAAAAATATGGTATTATATATATATAAACTTCTATTCCTCTATAAATATAGATGATTTTGTGATAGTGAACAGAATAAATGTATACCAAATTCAAAGACCAATATCATTTTAGGGTATGACAGACATAGATAAATTTAGGTCCTAAGTACCGGCATTTTGATAAATTCTTAAAGTTTTAAACAATACAGTCAGAGGACTGCTTTTCTCCTCTTTTTCACAGAGAACTAAAGTGAGTATTTTTAAATGGCTTTGAAAGATTTACATTTGACATATTTCTGTAAATCCAAAAGAGGAGCACACAGGATTTAATGCAGTACACCTGCACACATTTTCCCTTTAGCATGCATGCCCATATTTTATTTCAGGCGCTACTTCCCCATCAATTATTCCACCTTCTTTACCTCCTGAAATCTTACCAGGTTATTACTGGTGCTATGGATTATTCCTCCCTCAGAATGTGTTGCTGAATAATAATCGTAATAAAATGTTGAAAGTGTACAACTTTTACATTTTAAAGTTTCTGATATATGCCTCGTTATTTGATTAAAAATAATAAAACAGCACTTCATTTTGAGGAAGTCCATGACACTGAAATCTCCTTCAAGTTTTCAATTTCTGTTTACGTTTTGCTGTCTTGTTAAGGAAAGCAAAGATCGTCAACTCCTTAACAAAGCTTTCCAGGTGACCTCAACATTTCCACTTTACGGACCGACCGGTAAAATCTAGGCGCAGGCTGTCCCATTCCTAAAGGCAGGTTGCCAGGCATCCGTATGCAATTAGAATTAACATTTTATAACCCCTATCTTCAGTTTCTTCCAACCCTCACTAAGCGTCATGCTTCTTCCCAAATCTCAGTAACCACATCTTTCCGCGACGCTGGCCAAACCCGCACTAGGTTTTAGACACTAGAGAATGAAATGAGCTCACCCCTCAAAAATCAGACTTCAAAAAGTTTGGCATTGGTTATCTCACTCACACTGTAACCAACTAAGGTGGGAGTAGGGAGTGTCTGGGCGTTGGAGGTGACCGTGGAGGGAGGCTGAGACTGTCAGCGCCCACACCCGTGCGCCCCCACGAAGTTGGAGGAAAGTTCTGGACAGTTAAAAATCCGCTTCAGGAAGTCAAAGGGCTGGGCCTTCGCAATCCACCGCTGAGCAAGGGAGGAACTGGAATGTACCCGGGCCCACCTCCAGATTTGGAAGCTTTGTGGAGTTCTGTACCGTAAGATCCTACCCCGAGCCAGGAAAGGAAGGGAGGGGGCAGAAGGAGGAGGCGGGAAGTGACCCCGGCAGCGCAGCCTAGTTCCACCCCGCAGTGCTGAACTGGCCCTGGAGCTGGCGCCCAGCGGGCGAGCACCCGCGGCAGGGCGGGAGGGGCACGCGAGGACGACCGGGAGCGCTGGGCGGTTGCACTCCAGTTTTAGCTCCTCTGCAATACTCCGAAAAGAGCAAGAAGGAAAAGCCTCACATGGTTAAACCACCCTAAATAATTAAAAACTTCTGAAAAAGAAAAACGCGTGATCGGTCGTCACTTAAATACAAATATACTTACAAAAATCTTACACAGGCTATTTACAATCATAAAAGCGAACAGTCCTGGTACCAGAGTGTGAGGGCAAGAGTTCTGTCCATCCTCCCTCTGGCAGTCGGGCCCTTGTGTTCTTTTGCTTCAGGGACGGAAGCTTTTGCAGGAGCTGAGTTATTCAAGGGAGCCTGCGAAACAGCTGTCTAGTGAGGAAGCCTCGAGATGTCCGGCTTGGCACGAACTCCACGGGGCTGGCTTTGAGGGGTGGCTGCGCCCTGGCGGAGGCCTGGGCATGGGCTGAGCTCCGAGTCTCAGACGGTAGTCTCCCCCTGTTTGCTGTTGGTGAGCCTCGTGTAGAACTTCCTCCAGGAGTTAAGGGTCTTGCCGGACCAGATCCAGAAACCCGACGTGATGCCCACGATCAGCGTCATAAGGTACTTGATCATGAAGACCGTGAAGTCCGGGCTCATGGGCGGGTGCGGTGGGGCGCCTCCGCCCGCCTGGAGGTGAGGGCAGGGGATAGCGTAGCTTTTGCAGCTCTGGGCCACCCAGCTGCGTTCCCACTGGTCCCGGAAGGCCTGCTCGTAGAAGTAGCAGGCGATGACGATGGTGGCTGGCACAGTGTACAGCACGCTGAACACGCCAATGCGCACCATGAGCTTCTCCAGCTTCTCGGTCTTGGTGCCATCGTGCTTCATGATGGTGCGGATGCGGAAGAGCGACACAAAACCGGCCAGCAGAAAGGACGTGCCGATGAACAGGTACACGAAGAGGGGCGCCAGCACGAAGCCACGCAGCGCGTCCACGTTGTTGAGCCCCACGAAGCACACTCCGCTCAGCACATCGCCGTCCACCTGGCCCAGCGCCAGGATGGTGATGGTCTTGATGGCCGGCACAGCCCAGGCGGCCAGGTGAAAATACTGTGAGTTGGCCTCAATGGCCTCATGGCCCCACTTCATGCCAGCCGCCAGGAACCAGGTGAGCGACAGGATCACCCACCAGATGGAGCTGGCCATGCTGAAGAAGTAGAGCATCATGAAGAGGATGGTGCAGCCCTCCTTCTTGGTGCCCTGCGCCACCGTGCGTGCCCCGTCCTCGGCGAATTTGTCGTTACACACCACCCGGTCCTCCAGCAGGAAACCGGCGATGTAGGCCACGGCCACGGCCGTGTAACAGCCGGACAGGAAGATAATGGGCCGCTCCGGGTAGCTGAAGCGCCGCATGTCCACCAGGTACGTGAGCACCGTGAAGAGAGTGGAGGCACAGCACAGCACTGACCAGATGCCAATCCAGGTGCGCGAGAAGCGCAGCTCCTCGGGCCCAAAGTACATGAGCCCGTACACCTTGGTCGGTTCACAGGGCGCGCCGCAGTCCTTCTCCCCCAGGAAGTGGTAGTTGAGATAGGAGGGCACCTTGAGGGCGCGCGGGCAGGAGAACTTGCCTCGCTCCGACGCGCCGGCGCCCCCCGGGAAGCCGCCACGGTGCCCTCCGCCGCCGTGCTGGGGGTTGCTGGTCCAGAATTCTGGAAGCAGCGAGGGCGTCGGGGTGCCCTTGTCGGACGTGTTCTGGCCCACACACAGCTCGCCGGCGCCGTGCACCGGGAACTTCTCGCACTTGAGCGTGTCTGGCCACTGGAAGCCGAACTTGTTCATGAGCGCCTCGCAGCCCTGGCGCGCGCGCTCGCACAGGGAGCGGCAGGGCGGCAGCGCCTGCTCCAGCACAGTGCACACGGGCGCGTACATGGAACATAGGAAGAACTTGAGCTCAGCGGAGCACTGCACTTTCACCAGCGGGTAGAACTGGTGCACCTCGAGGCCCGCGTCCTCCTGGTTCGTGTGGCCCAGCAGATTGGGCATGATGGTCTGGTTGTACGCGATGTCCGTGCACAGCGGGATGGAGATGGGCTGGCAATAGCCGTGGTCCGGGATGGAGATGCCCCGCTCGCCGTTGTACTGCTGCCCGCTCTGCTGCTGCTGAGGCGGCGGCGGCGGCGGTTGCTGCCCCGGCCCGGGCCCCTGGCCTGGCCCCTGGCCCGCCGCCTGCGCCCGGACCCCCAGCAGCAGCGGAGCCTCCAGCAGCCAAAGCAGCAGCAGCAGCTGGCGCGCCAACCGCCGGGGGTCAGCTGGGGGGCGGCGGTGGCCACCGGCGTCCCCGCTCCCCTCCTCCGCCAGCCGGGTGGAGAGCGCCCGGGCACAAAGTTCCCAGCTCGCGCCGCCGCCGGCGGCCCAGGACTTAGGCGCCTCCTCCTCAGCCATACTTTCTCTGCTCCTCTCTTGGTGCCGCTCCGCTGGGGCTGGCAGGGGCACGGCCGGCGGCGGCTCCCCCTGCGGCCAGGGAAACCACTGAGCCGGTGCCCTCCGTCGAGCCCAAGCCTCGTTCGGCCCGCTCCCCCGGCTCCTGTTCTGCGTACCGCAGCCGCCGCCGGCGCGGAAACTTGCGATTCATGAAGCGAGGGCGGCGGGGAGAACCCGGGTGGCTCGGGCGCGCCGGGGTCGTGTCCCGCCTTCCTGGCCCTCGGCTCGGTGGCTCCCGGCTGGCGGCGCCGCGCTAGTGGTCGCGGCCCCGTAGAGCGCGCAACTCTCCGCAGCCCAGCGGGCTCTGCTCCCCCCTGCGCCTCCGCCTCCTTCTCCGCCGCCGCCGCCTGACCATTTGTGTCAATCCCTCAACTCGCTCCCTCTCCTCTCCGTCGCGCGCCCTCGGACCGGTTTCCAGGCGCCCCGCAGTCTGTCTTTCACCAGGAGGGAGGAGCCTTGAAACCGACGCAGAACAGGAGGCTCAGGGACCGTCGCCCAATCGCGGCACCGGCTTCCCAACGCAAAGGGAGCCGGCCGCCTCCTTGCCAGATCGAAAGCCAGCGGCGGGCTGGCGGGCGGGGTAGGAGGAGGCGGGAGGAGGAGGAAGTAGTGGTGGTGGCACTACTCAGGCACAAAGAGTAGGATTGCTATGAAGCGGGACAGGCTTGGTTGCTTTTGCTTTTTCAGAAGAAAAGGGCGAGGACAAGTAGGAGAATGGTCCCATATGCTGCTGGAGATAATGAATAGGAGTCGGAGGACTGCGGAACTTAGCTTTTCTTTTCTTTTATCCATTATCATGTTTAAAAATCCTGCTCTTAACGCTAGTTACCAACCCCAAACCGGGTGCTGCTTCCAGAACAGATGCCTTTGACTTAAGGAGCGCACGGTTTCCTTTGAGTTTGTGTCTGTCGAGGTTTTGTTTAAAATATTACATTAATAAATCCTCCAGTTCGCAGGCTGGGTTTGGCGGGCTTTGGTAGCGCCATTTCCCCAGCGGAGACGTTCACGGGATCGCTGTCAAATGAAACAAAACACAAACTTTGATGGAATTTAGAAAGTAAAGCCAGATGCGCCTTCTGCTACTATCATTCTTCTCGTAGCCAAACTCCTTTTTTTTCCCGCCTCCTTAATCAAGACAGAAAGAGAGGCAAAGGAAAACTATCCATTAAATTTTTGGAGAGAAAAACTTAAGAACCCGACGACCGAGGCGGCAGGGGCGCCTCTCCGGGATCGTCCTCGCCGCTCCAGACCGCAGAGGTGGCGCCGGCGGGAGCTGCAATCGCCGGCGCTGGGCCCGTGGGGAGCCTTTCTAAACCCTGGGGACGCCCAAGGCTCTGCTGGGAACTCCTGGGACCTGGGCCATTTAGGTTCCACAGGCTGGGCTGCAGAGCTGGAGACGCCAGTTTAACAAAAACAAACGAACAATCTGAAAGCAAACAGCAAACTACACATTCTCTTCCTAATTCCCAAACAACATAATCCATCTCAGCAGACGCACATTAATGTTGTTTTCCTTGTAAGATTATTTTAAATGATGATTTGACTATGTGACTAAATCAGTTTTATCAGAAAATTGCCACTGGATTA